TGTAATCCTAGAGACTTGGGAGGAGGAGAGAAGAATGATTTTGAGGACCTCATCTCAATCAATAAGCTGAATGTGGCAGCTGTTTCCTGTGATTCCAGCTATACCAGAGCCAAGTGTGAAATCACTGTCTGGAACCTGCCCCAGGCAAAAACACAGCACCGTACCAGATAATTAAATAGGGGAGAGAGACAAAGACAGAGACAGAGATGGAAATAGAGACAGAGACAGCTCAGCTCACTGACTCAGGAATCTTAACAGGCCTCAAACCCTGCCTTTCTCCCTTCCTTGTAGCCCTGGGCATGGGGCTTCAGAATTCTTCCATTAATTCATTTTCTTCCTCTGTGATTCTCATATTCTCAGCCTCCTTTTCTCTTTGTCCAACCACCAAATGTCCTTGGGGACCCAAGTCATAAAACACAGAGTCAGAATTCCGGGAAGATGGCAGAGGAGAAGCTGGAGTCTAAACATGCTCTCACATAGAAAGCAGTTTTTAGAGTTCCAGTGAACAGTCCTAAGCCAGAGAATCACACCAAGTGTGCCATCACAGGACAGAGAGTCAGGCCAGAGAGGAAAAATCAAGGCAAGGAGACACATCTGAGCTCTTGCCAACAGCTGCCGAGGCCGAGGCAGCAGTGGCGGTGGCGATCGCAGGCTCCATACCTGAACTACAGAGAGTCTGGGACGAAGGAGCCAGACGCAGCAGGTGAGCAGATTCTACTCAACACCAGCAAGAACTGACAAGGAGCGGACATCTTCATCCTGCAGTTCGCAGACCAGAGACTACCCAGGAACCAAGACTTGGCGTGAGTAGAAGCCTGACGTCCTCACTCCTTCTCAAGGAGCAGAGGAGGGAAGGCCACCCCTCGCCCCCCCCCAGTACCGGAGATCTCCATCTTGGATACTGACAAAGCTCAGAGGAGCTGCTAGCTCCAACTCAAGCCTTGGAATAAAAGGAGTCATTTAGCAGGTCACAAGAACTTAACGGAGGCGTGACCTGCCAGACTCAGCTCCACCCAGGGAAAAGTCACCCAGCTCCAGCGCCAGCCCTAGGAGTGGCTTTCTTCACTGGGTAATCAGAGCCAGAGGCTGCCCCTCCCTCTAGCAGCCTTGACAATCAATTGAAATTCAGTAAACAAAAACCCTGAGAATGGCTCCAGGCTGGGCTCTGTGAGTTTCTCACAAACTAGCCCCCAGGAAAAGCTACTGTTTGTTGAAAGGCCTCAACTCTACCCAGAACCTAGCCTCATCACTGCATCCCCCTCTTTTGTGATACTCAAAGCAGATCTGCCTCCCAATGAACTAGCCTGGGAGGAGGATC